CTTAAGAGCGGGCTAGCGGCCCCAAACACGGGCGTTGCAGCTCAGGAGCGCAGCCGGGCCGTTGGGCCACACTTCCAAACATGCTCTTTCTTTCTTTACTTTTATTTTATTCTACGGCTGTGGTTGTTGATTGACTACTTATGTAAGTCTTGTGAGTGATGCTACTTTCTTTCGGTGTACTTTTGCAAATGGCGAACGATGAGTTTTTTCTCATCGTTTTTTCGCCAATTTCCATAAAGATAAGTGTGCTTTTGATGGCTACATACTACGCTTGTTGTCATGTTCCACGTGCTACCTGTTTCCTCTTGGATTCAGATTGGCATTCATTCAAACTCCAGTCTTCCAATTCCCAAATGGTTGTTGAGAGAACGAAACACCGGTCGATTCTGATCAGTCCACGCATGCAGTACGCGTTACTGAGCTTTTCTGGGAGAGAACATAGAACACACAGTAGTCCCGGTCCGTAGAGATAGAGAAGATTCTAATAAAAGTTTAGCTCGTCCTGCAGGTGTCGGTGACGGTGAGGACGTATCCTTGTGTTTTCAGCTCAAGCGTAGAACACGAACATGGATAAATCTATATACTGATGTTATATATCTGCATATGAAATCAAGCTTGATTAATTCAATTACAAACAACCAGCATGGCTGAATAATAAATCTTGTAGGAGAGTACGGTCGATCAACACTTTATCACGATGGATAAGAAATAAAATCACGAATGGACAAACTTTCTTCTGAAATCTTTTCAGAAGATACGGTTGATCAGTCTCTCACTCAAATCTCATAGAGCATTCCATCCTGCAAGGTCTTGCATGCTCGGTCTTGAGCATGGGAAACTCGTTCTATGAAAAAACACAAGTAATCCACCACGTCAGATTTCATAATTGGATCGAAACCCCTTGTTCTAGAACCCGGGCCGACCCACAGTTCTAGAACCCGGGCAATGATAGGTGATAAAAGGAAAAAAAGTAAACATATATTTCTAGGATTCGAACCAATACCTATTTGTAATTATACAACTAATGTTGTTCTTTTAAATACACTAGCAAATATGCACGTGCGACACACACGTGTTTCCATGCGAGAACTAACGGAAACAATATATACTCCCTCCATCTCAAAATAACTGTTGTTTTCGTTTTTCGAGAAATAACTTTGACTAATTTTATATAAAAAATATTAATATTTATGGTACACAATTAATATCATTAGATAGAACTTAAATCTATTTTCATAATAATTTTTTTAGAGATATAAATATTGCACGTATTTTCTATAAATCTAGTCAAACTTATGGTATGAAAACCCAAAACAACAGTTAATCTAGGACGGAAGGAGTACATATATGTACACCAAAATATACGTAATAAACTAACAACCAGCTAAAAATATATATATAACGTACGTGCGTGCGTACCATGTTGAAGTCGCCCTGGGGTTGGGCAGACACTCAGGTAGTACTCCGTACCCTGTAGCCGGATTGCAAATAAGCCTCCGTTGCTGAACCGGTTGCTAGCACCAGTGTCTTTCACCCAAAGCTGCCTCTGCTTCTTGTCTCCTGGATTGGCGGCGTGCTCGCGCATGTCCAACTCGTAGGGTGAGTTCCCGGCCGGGGAGCAGCGCGGAATAGCGGTGAGGAAGCGGTTCTCGTCCTCCAGCTCGGACAGCGTGAACGTGCCCACGCCACGTCGTTGAAACTCAACCATGTTGGATCTTCGATCGGTTATTATTGTCACTCGTTCGCGATGGCAAGCTGATGGAACAAAGGAGTATGACTATGGGGTGATGGGTATTTATAGGGCCGCATGCAACCCGACAGTGTATGATGCGCGACGTCGTCATCTGGGCTTTAACTAAGCGAACTTTAGCACTCGCATAATAGTGCGACCTTGCTTCGTACATGGCTGCGTGCAAGTTCAATCACGGACGCGCTAGGAGTCTAAGAAAAAAAAAGATGGAGTAGATCAAAGATAGAAGTCGTACTTGACTCATGTATACCTAACATAAACGTTAAAAAAAAGATGGTGCACTCGTACTTGACTCATGTAATAAACATGACTTATGGCGGAGGGATTTTAGACGTACCGTGAGACGTATTTGAGATTGAATAGAAGTCTTACATCTTACATGTAAGATCACGGATGACGGAGGGCTCATATAGCACGACGTGTAGATCGAACGGTTGTTATAGAGGAAGAGTAAGATCATGCATGACGGATGGCTCATATAGCATGGCGTATAGATCGAACGGTTATTATAAAGGGAGAGCCTCTCTCAAAAAACCCACTCTTTTATTGTGTGATAATTTTGAACTTATATTGTATATTGACACTCTAATAATCTTAAATGAAAAAAATATTAGTTGCAAAGTTATAAATCTCGTCGAATACTACAACTTTGATGTTCACTTTATCTTTATTCGACATTATTAACCATCTCAAATCCGATCAAGAACTTGTATTGAATATTTGGACATGTAAATCATCTTAAATTAAAAAATTGATAGTTGCATAGTTTTAGATCTCTTTGAACTCTACAAATTTGATATAAACTTTATCTTAATCCGACCACCTCCTACAAAAAAGATTTTTTTTTGTGCAAAACAAGCTACCATTGACGGTATGTGGCTTCAGCGATAGCGATAGACTATCTCTGCCGGTTAAAGTCACGAACTGACGATTATAGTCCGATAGTAATACGCATGTTTCAAGCCTATGTTCAAAGTGTTTCAGTTGTTTCAGACGTATGTTTCAAATATCTTCATCTGGATGTTGCATATGTTGCTATGGCTATACACGTATGTTTCAAGTGCTCGTTTTCATGTGTTTCAGATGTTTCGGACTTATGTTGCAAAAGTGGATCTAGATGTTGCATATGTTGCTATGGCTATGCATGCATGTTTTAAATGTTTCATCTGTTTTCAGTTGTATGTTACAAGTGTTTCATCTTTATGTTTCAAAGTAGATCGGGTGTTGCATATGTTGCAATGTGGCTACCGGTGGTGGTGGTGGATAATGACGCCGCAATGACTGGTGCCGTCTTGCGGGGGCGCCGCCATAGTTCACGTCTTGGTATGACACTGGTGTTATTGCCGAGGCACCGCCGTGGTTTGTATGTGGGCGCGGGGGCACAATTCCAGGTGCTGGTGCGTGATACAAGCGGCCACAGGATGCGATGCGTGCTGGCATCGAGTGCAAGCACGGAGCTCCAGACGGACGAACGCGGTCTCCGGAGCGGGATTTGGCGCGGGCGAAGGGAGTTGCGTGCGTCGGACGCGGGTGTGGGAGCTGCGTCCGGATGCACTGCTAGGCCCGGACGTCCGAGCGCTAGTGCCTCCGTTGATTTAGACATTGACACCTTAAAAACTTCGGTTAATGCTTTTTTACCGTATTTTATAAAGTATAGCCAAAGGAACACTATTATGGAACTATGTTTAAGATAATTCTACTCATACATTTTTAAATATTCAAAATTCACACTATAATCTCTTAGCAAAGTCTAAGATGGTTGACTTGCACACAATCCAAACTGGATCCATTTTGACCGGAGGAGCAATGAGTATTGGAATTTATAAATGTTTTTTTAATTATATAAAAGATATTTTCATTTTTTTAACCATAAGAAGGAGAAGATGTCGCTTGTTCGGCACTCCAAGAAAATTGGCCAACCGTACTACCGTAGAACGCAGTATATTTCCCGAGCCCGAGCGATCGCTTTTCGCCTTTCTTCTACCTCCCGACTCGCTGGCCTCTCCCCGACCCTGCCCCGCCTCATCACTCCCCATCCCACCGACACGCGGCGTGTCGCGCGCCTCCGCTAAAACCCTAGCCCCACCCAGGCCCGATGGCCGCCCCGCCGCAGCCGCACCCACCGGCAGCGGAGGAGGGGGCCGCGCCGGCGGCTCCCCTGCCCGCCGCCGCGCCGGGTGCACGGCCGTACGACGTGGCGGTCGCGGCGGCGGAGCTCCGGCCGGTGGACTGCAACCTCGCCGCGCTCTGTGACCACGTTCAGGCGGAGGGGTTCGGCTCCGGGGCCTTCTCCGACCTCGTCGTGGAGGCCATGGGCGCCACCTACCGCCTCCATCGCCTCATCCTCTCCCGCAGCGCCTACTTCAGGTAGGTTCTAGAATGCTGATCATTGGCGCTCCTGCCGCCTTCGATTACTTGGGGATTGAAGTCCCTGTTGCGATCTGATTGTCTGCAACTGCTCGGAGTACTTAATTGGATTTCTATGTGGACATTTTTGTCTTGGTTGGGATGTCTCCATCCATTTCCTGTGAAATTTCCATGTGCTTTGATCCCTATTAAAATGTTTAATCTAAGAATATGACCTTACCAAGTGATTAGGATTTTTTTTTCAGAAAAAAATTACAGCCTGCAAATAGCATGCCAATTAAAATCTTACACTCTTATACAGAATATGTTAGATCCTCATTTACTCTGTATATCATAGTGCATCCTTCAATGTTTAGTTTGCTCTATGACTTTCAGATTTCCATCTATGCCATGAATCATGACTGAAGCTAAAATTGATTTAATAAAAGTCAGGAACTACTCGCTAGATAGTTTTTCTGTTGAGATTCCAAGGTCAGAATTGTGGATGGAGGTATAGCCATCAACCAATAGCGTGGCACATGAAAAATGAAATCATAATGGTTATGGCCCCTGCATCTTTGCTTGGTACTTGAATGGGACTTTGGTGCTCTGCTCTTGTAGGTTGTAGTTACCATGGATATGCATTGCTTGCTTATCACTTAGCAAAACAAAATGTATAAACTTATATAGAATTATGATAGAACTATGCAACATTGATTAAGTTTCATTGCCTATAGCCGTACTCTGTGTGTTTGTCTGTCAGCACAGTAGTCACTCTCTTTCTGCAGCCAAACTTTTACCTTTTGCTGTTTTCTTACATTATTTCCCTACTAGCACATAGAATGTTCATGTAATTTAAAATAAGTAAAATTCTTAACAACTTCTGTTTGATATTGACTGGAAGGAATATGCTACATGGTCCTTGGAGAGAGGCGGGAGCACCCACAGTGGTTTTGCACATAGATGATGCCAATGTTGATTCAGAGGCAATTGCAATTGCACTCGCATATCTTTATGGGCAACCCCCCAAGCTTAATGATAACAATGCATTCCGGGTGCTTGCAGCTGCATCATTTCTGGATCTTCAGGTCTAACTCATTTATTTTATAATTTTCCTTTGTGCTTCATTGTGCTGTGTTATTTTGTCTCACCTATGATGTGGTCAACTGTAGGACTTATGTACAATATGTACAGATTTTATTATTTCTGAGCTTTGGACATCAAACTTTTTACAATATCAGGTAGGTTCATCACTATTATATAGATTATTGTTGGGTCAGATCAGATTTCTTGAGCACTAAAATGTTCATTTTCTTCTCCTTGATCATTCATGGTCTTAGTTTTTTCTCATTACTAATAGTTGTTTGCTGAGAGTCAAGATTATGGGAGCCATGGAGAGCGTGTTAGAAATGCTTGCTGGGGTTATCTTTGTCAAAGTGCCACACTGGAATTACGAGAGGTACATATGATTTATAGGACTTTATCTGATTAAATGGTGTAGTTGTGTTGGTTGAAATGCCCTGCAATCTTTTCTGAGATATTTTTATTGATTTGTTACCACCACTTTAAGTATGCTCACTCAAGTAATTCTACATCGCTTATTTATGATTGCATATGAATTGAAAGGTTGCCTTTTGTATTGAATATTAGATATTGATAGAGCTCATTTATCGATAGACCTTGTCATCCATGCCTTAATTTCAGCAATGTCTTTCTCTGCATGAATTAATTGACTATTTGTTTCAGTATTTATTAAATCAAGTGCATGGTGACTATTATTGTGAATGGGGATAGTATGGCTGTTAGGTGTACGAAAAATGTTGAGAAACTATTCTATGTTTAGTTACATGAATATGTTTAGTTTTTTTCTTTTCATCAACATAAGTACTTACACGTGAGGTTGTTCTTAGCTGGGATTTGTTGTTTAATATACATTCTATGTTATATGTGAACATGCTGGGGCTTTTGGTTATTATTATTTTTTATTTTGTTCTTGAAAGGTGCTACCAAAGCTTTCTTCACAAACTTTGCATGCTCTCCTTACATCTGATTTAATTGTGGGTACCTAACGAGGAGAAAAGGTTAGTTATGTCACTTTGTGTTTATTTGTCTGCTCAATGATACTACAAGCCCTTTTGTGACAACATCTTATCTTGGTACTTGAAGGTTTGAACTAGCAGTGTTTACTCTACTTGCAAAGGTTGCTATGTGTGAGATACAAGTTAGTGGGAATGAGTCAAACTTAACAAGTGCTGATCGATCCATGAGGAAGGGGAAGACTCCAATGAATGGATCTGGGGAGGAACTGCTAATGGACTCTGAATTGCAGAACTTAAAGTTGCATGATAACTTGGGGAATGAAATTCCCCATAACATTATTGCTATTTCAGATATGGTAATCTGATGGAATATTGTATCTGCACAGCTGAAATGATGCTCAATCTCTACTTTTGTTCAATATGCTATATATTTCCTTGTCTTATGAAATAACTATTTTTAACATGAAGCATGACAACTACATTAAGACTGTACTGTTTTTCTGAAATTTAGAACAGTGAAGCTCCCAAGAGAATGGAGAATGATTGTTCTACCGGAGGACAATCAGGAGAAAGCACTTCATATCAATTTAATGAGAATAACTGGCTTTCTAGTGAGCAAACTGCAAATAATTATTTCTCAAGAACTTCCAGTAGTGGTGTTGTTCCTACTGAGTGGGGAAGGCCCAATGCACAACTTTGGGGTGGTAGGGTCGTTGGACGGCGGCAAGTTAGATGCATTAGAGGAAGCTCTTGTCTATCTACCGATGAATATAATGCTTTTATGAATATATTTGAGAGGGGTTCTCTTCTCTACTGCAATATGTCCTTTGATGCATTGCTAAGTGTTCGAAAGCAACTCGAAGAATTTGGATTCCCTTGCAAAGCTGTCAATGATGGTCTATGGCTACAGGTATTTAATCTACTCCCTGCCTTGTGGTACCCTGTTCCTTTTAAGACTGTATATAAAACCTTGATACTTTGTTATTGTAGATGCTTCTGTGTCACAGGGTGCAAGCGATAGTTGCTGATACTTGCAGGAACTGTTGCCTTACGAATAATTCTTGTGCTTGCAAGCAAGCATATGTGAGCTCGCATACACACTACAGGCAGGAGCATGACCGGAGCAGTGCTTCCGGCAGCATAGGTAATGTCTACCTTGCGGATGCCCAGGGCGATGGGAATGGTGTACTTGGGCCTGTCCGTGTTAGCGTAAGAGGAGCAGTCGATGGACTTGCTGGTATTGGGAGAGGGAACTCAAATGTGCCTGGTGCAGCTTGGGCTCCTACACGTTATGTCTTCTCCGTGTCCCTTATGGGCTCGGTTCAAGAAATGGCCAGCAATTTGCCAATGATGAATCAGAACCTAGAATTGACCGCAATGGAGATATTTCAGCAGATGGTCTGACTGCATTGGTTAACCTTAACCAGGAAAACAATGCTGCTCACCTGCAGGCTGAGAGCCTATTTGAGACAGGGATGCAGACAAGATATTGCAGTGTTGCATCTGTTTCCACTCCAGGTGGTTCTTCTGTCCAGATCCAGGAGTCAAAGGAGCATGAACTTGGACCAGATTGGGAAACTGCAGAGGATGCAACTATATCATTAGACATGAAAACACCTCTTAGCCATTTTCCTCCTTTCCGCTTTGGGTAAGATTACTTATTTTTCTGTTTCTGCGATTCTGTCATCAATGATTAACTACATTGGACGGTGTCTGGGGAAAATCTGACTTGTTATTTCTTCCATTTCCTAGAATGTCCCAGTTATCTCACGAATCATTTGAAAGTTTGAGGACAGTTTACTTCTAGAATACCAATTGGGGCTGTTGCCTTGTTGATAACCTGCCATGGCAGAAATAAGAAAAATAAAATAAAATTTCTCACAAAAATATGAGGCTAGCTAACCAAGACATGTTCTGCTGTTTGTTCTGTCATATGTAGGTAGTAATGATTTAGAATTGGTTGTGCACATTGGTTCCTTGTTTCTGACATGGCTTGACCAGCTTATTTTTGCTCACAGGGTTGAGTTCGAGGATGTGCACAGGCTTGCTGATGGTCAGGTGAAACATTCGACTGAAGTGTTTTATGCAGGCTCTCTATGGAAGGTTAGTATTGTTGTCCTACATGTATCCATCCTTATAATGGTCAAAATCCAGTAAAGTAATTGGTATACACATGTCCAGGTGAGTGTCCAGGCATTCAACGATGAGGATCCTCATGGGCGACGCACCCTTGGTATTCTTTTCTTCTTTGCCATGTTCTCATATGCTTCCCTCTTGCTGTGATGACTATCCTAATATAATGATATGCCATGTACCAATTTAACTGGCAATGCAGGACTTTTTCTCCACCGACGCAAGGCTGAGTTGTTAGATCCCTTGAGGAAGGTGAGTGATCTGCTGAATTCACTTGTCACTTGTCAGAGAATATTATGTTCAACTCAAGTGATAATAAAACTTGTATTCCTCAGGCTAATTTGTACGTTGACCCCCGGGAAAAGGTTACTGCTCGGTATCAGGTACTATCTGTTTTTCATCTACTAATCGTTTCACTGAGGTACTGTGTGTGGCCTAATTTGCCAATTTGCTTGCTGCTCTTAGCTCATCTGTCCATCGAAGAGAGAGGTCATGATATTTGGAAGCCTGAAGCAGGCTGGGACGCTGCTACCAAAAGCCCCGAAGGGCTGGGGTTGGCGCACTGCTATACTGTTTGATGAGCTTGCAGATCTTCTCCAGGGTGGTGCCCTGCGAATTGCTGCAGTGGTCCAGCTCGTCTAAACAACAGTTGCAGAAAACAACTGCTTGCAAGGATGGTGATACCATAGCAGTTTATGTAGTTGATAGTTTGATACCTGCAAGAACTCAATCCGTCATGTACTCGTGCTCTGAAATTGTGTATACTGTATAGTGGTTCGCTGTTTGATATATAAAAATAATATATAGGTGGACCTTCAGCTCTGGATTTGGGCCCACGTGGACTTACAGCATCTCCAGCAGCTTATCAAATATGTCACCCCCAAGGGAGTATTGGTGGCCACCAATAGTTTTTTCAGATTATCAAGGGAGATGCTTCAGCAGACGACCTGTAATCCCCCAAATATACGGGACCCACATGTCAGATCAGGATTTATTATTTTTTCTTTCCGTTTTCTCCGTCGCATCTTCTCCTCCGTCGCGCTCAACCGCACACCCGCAGCCACCATGACCGCCGCCACGAAGCTAAACCCGTTCTGCTTCCCCGTGCAGCAGTCCTCCCCGCCGGTCGTCCGCAAGGTCCTCCCGCCGCACAAGCTCATGGCAGCGTTCTCCGGCCCCTGCGGCGCGGGGAAGCCCAGGCCCCGGCGCCCGTGCCCATGAAGCCGGACAGCGTTGAACCCAACTCCGGCCGCGGCCCCCGCAGTCCCCGCTGCGCCTACCCCGACCCCGGCTACCGCGACGCCTAGCTCTGGCCGTCGACAGCACAGCGCCCAGATCCGGCCGCGCCCAGCTCTAGCTATGGCGCCCGCCGCGACGCCTGGCCATGGCCGCTGCCACCGTCGCGCCCAACTCCGACTACGACGCCAGCCCGCGCCCAGCTCCGACTACGACGCCAGCCGCGACGCCTGGCCTTGGCCGTGGCCACCGTCGCGCCCAGCTCCGACTACGGCGTCCGCCGCGCCCAGCCTCGATCGCGGCCACCGTCGTGCCCAGCCCCGGCCGCGGCCACCGCCGCGACGTCCAGGCCAGGCTGCAACGCCTAGTGACGAGATCTTCATCGGCGCGTCATCTTCTTCGTCGGGCAACACATACTCTCCCCTCACGACGGCGATGAGGTCTCCGGCGACGGACGTGCGCGATAGGGAGGCACCGGTGCGGCGGGTGCGACGGACATGTGCGAGAAAGGTGCCGGCTATTGACAGTTGGGGTGGGTCCCACTCTATTGGGGGGAGATACAAGCCCCCCTCTATTTGAGAGGGAGATGGATGTTTTTTTTATGGCAAAAAAAAAAGGTGTTAAAGGGGAGCTGATGGAGCAATGAAACTATGGTTGGCCGGGCGGGGCTGGGCTGGCCAGCGCACTCACACCGGCACTGTTTACTTGAACAGTGTTTTCAGACAGAACAGTATTTTTTTCTCACAACAATCAGTCGGAACAGTATTTTTGCTTGTTTTTCAGTCCTGCCGAACATACCCTACACCAACTCCCCCAATATGACATGTTTATGGGATGAGGAGGGTTATTAGGGAACTGCTGGAGATGCTCTTATAGCAGTCATTAGGTCATGAACAATGAAATAGGACTGCGCATTATAACTTGACCATAATACATACATTAGATTGAGTTCACTCTAATGTAAAGGCTAGCGTTTGGACGTTCGTATGGGGGCTAGCGTCCGAACGCCGCGCCTGCTTCATGTGGGGACCTGCGTCACTCCGTGTCCTGCGCCGCTCTATGTCCTACACCCGCTTTGTGTCCCGTGCCGCTTCGTCTCGATCTGCGCTCGCACGGTTTCCCGCGTCTACCGCTCGTGCCTCCTCCACACCCATGCGCATGCAGGTGGGCCCAGCAGCTGCTGCAGAAAGGGTCCGCTGCAACATGTGCAACAACAGATCTACTTTTGCAACATCTAGACGAAATATTTGCAACATACGTCCGAAAATAGTTGAAACACTTGCAACATACATCTGAAACACTTGCAAAACATATGCAACATCTAAATAAAACACTTGCAACATATGTGTGAAATATATGCAACATCCGGATGAAACACTTGCAACATAAGTGTGAAACATATGCAACACCCAGATAAAACACGTGCTACAAAAGTCTGAAACAGCTGAAACATTTGGAACAGACGCTTGCAACATACGTATATAGCCATTGCAACATATGTAACATCCCGATCTACTTTTACAACATCCACATGAAACACTTGCAACATGCATATGAAACACCTGAAACACTTAAAACATACGCTTGCAACATGTCAAGCGCGACACTCTAGTGGACCGTGACCACCATGTCTGGCGAGCCTCGAGGCGGTCACGAAGTACGGCACGGCCACGACGCCCTTGCTGTTTCTAGCCACTAGAGGAGGTGATGAGGAGGACACTGGTGCCGACGCCGGTGATGAGGTGGCGGATGTGCTAGCCGGGAGAGCGACCTTGTACCGGTACCCATAGCGGAAGCCCTATGAGGATATGCGCAACACCATGGGCTTGGGGAGCTTGGAGAGCAGCCGCGTTGTTGCGGATGCCGCGGTCATGACTGTGAGTGGCGAGCGAAGCAGGACGAAGGCCATGGTGACGGCGAGGGCCACGGTGAGGAGGAGCAGAAGGGGAGGAGAGCGGCGGTGGGTCGTGGAGAGTCGCCAGGTGTCTAGACCTCGACTGAGTGGGTGGAGACGCCATCGGTGGGCGGTGCTTTAACTACAAGACTGTGGGAGAGTGGGAGTGGACTAGATTTGGGAGAAGCAGAACATGTGTGCGGCTTGTGGAGTGGGAGATATTTATTTTGGGAGGCAGCGTGGAGTATCAAATATTTATGGTGGGTAAAATATACGAACGACGTGAAGCCACGTATTGGGCCGGTCAGACCTAGTCCGCAGGCCCAGCGAAGGCGCGCGTCCGACCGGACGGACGCTCCGAAGGTAATGCTTTCTTGAGTTCACTCTAATGTAAAGGTAATGCTTTCTCGCGGGCATTCCAAGTTGCTTTAGGCAGCCACCAAGACCAACAATAAATAAATGCACAATATAGAGTGCGATGGAATGATTAGCAATACAATCTCATGCATTACGATCGACTTTACTCCTTCTGTTCCAAAACAAGTGCACTTCTAGCGTTTTGGTGAGGAGATCAATGTTAGTGTTTGGTGAAGAGATCAATGTTAATGAAAAATTACATATATACCCTTAAGATTTAACCATTGCACTTCGAGAAAAGAGAAAGTAGAAAAAAACAACTAGAGTTAGGTTATCTCGTACCTAAAGGTGCATTTATTTTGGAACAAATTTTGAACTCAATTGCACTTATTATTGGACGGAGGGAGTACGTATCAAATTACTAGTGTAGCCATGACTGCGTACGATAAAGCTGCACGTGATCTGTGTGAAAAGTATTGCACTAGGGTTTTCAATTTTGATATAAAAAAGTTTCAATCACCCTCGAAATTCGTGAAATTCGACCTAAACTTTGCTGAAATTTTTATACTTACACATGGAGTATGGTTTTCTTCCAAAAAAATAGATCTAAACGAAATATTCACATCTATTGAGTAGAGAAATATGTAACATAAACAATGTGAGTTATATAGCACATGCATTAGTGTGTAATATAAAATTTTGGATTTTTGTTTTGACCACCGTTGAAATTACCAAAATTCACGAAATTTTGAACCCTAATGCACCGTACCGCAATACACTGCACCGTAAAGAACACAAATGTACATTATTTTGTTGATTGAACGTAAACGCAAATTCATGAGTACGTGGAGGAAGGGCTGGAGTTTTAATTTACTGAAGTAAACAAGAGATCAGATAGCAGCACTAAAAGAATAGACACATGCATGCTCTAATTGTATTTTTACCCCAGATCAGATAAATAACAATAACAATACAAAAGATAGGACTATATATCTGCTCTGCCACATACTCTGTTCCAGCAATTATGTACTCCGTTCCAGCAACACTAGATCTATTTTTACAACATCCAAATAAAACATTGCAACATATGTTCGAAATAGCTCCAACACTTGCAACAAACGTCTGAAACACTTGTAAAACACCTGGAAAATATTTGAAAACCATTGCAAACATATGCAACATCCGGATAAAACACTGACAACATACGTATGAAACACCTGAAACACTTAAAACATACTCTTGCAACATGCATGTATATGCAACATCCAGATATACTTTTGCAACATCCAGATAAAACACTTGCAACATACGTGTGATACATATGAGACATTTGGAAAATACACTTGAAACATACATTTATATCAATTGCAACATGTGCAACATTTCGATCTACTTTTGGAACATCTTGATCTACTTCTGCAATATCGATATAAAACACTTGCAATTAACATACCTCTAAAACGCCTGAAACATTTGAAACATATGTTTGCAACATGCGCTTTCAGCGCAACATCTCTTTGTTGCTTCGGCGAATGGAGGCTCGTTGGTGCGCGGAGGTCACCGGTGTGCTCGCCGATGGCGCGGAACTCGCCAGCATTGCAGAGCTGGGCGGTGGCGCACAAAGGGCGAGGTGGGGGCGTCACAGGCGGCGGTGGCGTAGAAGGACAGGTGGCGTGCGGCAGCGGTGGCGCAGACAGTGGGTGGAGCGTCCGGACGATCGGACGCCGTAACCCCAACATTTTCGAACTCTAAAAGTGCACTTATTATGAAACGGAGGGAGTACTTCACAAGGTATCAAATTACTAGTGTGGCCACGATATTGCGTATGATAAAGTTGCATGTGATCTACGCGAAAAGTATTGCACTAGGGTTTTCAATTTTGATATAAAAAGGTTTCGGTCACCCCCGAAATTCATAAAATTCAACCAAAAATTTCCTGAATTTTTTATAGACTTACACGTGAAGTATGTTTTTTCTAAAAAAAATAGATCTAAACAAAATATTCACATATTGAATAGAGGAATATGTAACATAAAATCAATGTGAGTTATATAGCACATGTATTAGTGTAATATAAAAATTTGAATTTTTCTTTTGACCACTGTTGGAATTACTAAAGTTCGCAATTTTTTGGCGAAATTTTGAACCCTGTATTGCACCATACTGCAATACACTGCACCGTAAAGAACACAAATGTACATTATTTTGTTGGTTGAACGTAACACAAAGTCACAAATTCATGACTGGAGGAAGTATGAAGGGGCCGGAGTTTTGATTTGCGGAAGTAAACAAGAGATCAGATATAGTAGTAGCACTAGAATTGACACATGCTCTAATTGTATTGTTTATCCCAGATCAGATAAATAAAAATTATAATGATAATACAAAAGATAGGGCTATATATCTAATCTGCTCTGCCACGTACTCCGATCCAGCAATTGCATGCGTACGTGATCACTATTGTTAGAGCAGTTTATTTCGTACGTGAGGTGAGTATCGCGAAGCTATGGTTTTGTAGGGTCAAGCACTTGTCCTGCGAAGAGGATTGCACCGGACACTTCCTCCACCACGAAGAAGGCAAACGGATGGTCGGCGACGAAGTCCACAGCCTTTGGCCGCCGCGGAGGCGCTGGCATTGCACAAGTTTCGGCGAATATGAGAGCTGTGGAAGCCGCTGCCTCAGTGCCTTCCTCAATCACCGCCCTGTGGAAGACGTCGTCGAGAACCAACCGCGGCGCTCGGGAGTCTCCATCGCCGCCGCCGCCATCGCGCACCAGAAGCATGTCCGACAGGTCGGCTCTGGCAGGATCAACCACGGCCTTGATCCCGAGGTCCTGGAGTTGGCGCTTCATTCCGGAGTAGAAGGAGATCTTGAACTTGGGCACCCGGAAGTCGCCGACCTCGACACTGCGCTCCGGCATGTGCTCCTGGAGGAAGCTTGGGTACGTCATCTTGTCCACCAGTCTCGGCAGGCCGTCGCGTGCGCGCGTCTGGCAGCAAGACGCACATGGAGTAATGCGGCGGCGGCGGCGAGGGCATCGTTGGGGCGACGGCCGTTCCTTCCGCTGTTCCCGCCGCCGCCTCCGCATATGGCATCACTAGCACCTTGAACCCGTCGTGCGCTGCGATGAACTGGCCCTCTTTGCTGCGCATGAACTGGGCGTCCACGGCGATGCCGACCATGCGGAGGAACTTGCCCTTCTTGGTCAGGGACTTGTCGAACGTCGTCTTCCAGATGCCCTTGAAGTAGATGGCCGTGGTGACCACGAGGCTTGTGCCTTGGGTCACCGATCCACGAGGGAGGATCGAGTCCACGAGGTTGTTCGTCGCCGCCGCCACCCAACTGTTGATCCGCTTCCTTGCCTCTTCGGGCTGCATGAATGCAATCAAGACAGAGTATTTATATTAATTAATATACTTAATTGCATTCAACAACAGTTAGTAGATCTGATCGATCCAAGTGCCCGCTGAGTCGCTGACCTTGTTGAGGAAGTCGACGGCGCGCGCCACGGCGTTGCAGGACGCGGCGGCAACGTCGCGGTAGGCCGGCTTGAGCGTTCCAGTGGCGGCGTCACGCCACACACCGCACGCGTGTGCGAGTGCGACGCTGCCTGGGCCGTCCGGGCGTGGGAGGGCGCGCTCCACCATGCAGCGGACGTCCTCGGCGAGGCTCTCGCGGGATTTGGCGCTGAGGGCGTCGAGGAGCTCGCTTAGAGTGCGTCCCTTGGCGCCGGCGGCCGCCAGCGAAAGCACAGAGTACATGGACAGGGGCGAGAAGACGAGGTTGCCGGCGGACCTGCTCTCTCGTCCGGCGGCGGAGGACAACTTCCTCATCAGACGGTGAGACAAGGCCGACAGACCGGAGCTAGTACCCCGCGGCGCCCCGTGTTCCACCATTCTCGATCGACCGATGTCGCCTGCTTCCAGCCTCAAACTTTTGTATCCACGGACACGGAGTATACATACATGTCCCAAGGCTCCGTGTGTATGTACTACGATGCCCCTTCAATGCTTGATCACGAAGAAGGTATACGGATTGCACGATAAGAAATACTTCAAAAACACTTTCATAAAAAAAACTTCGGAAACAAAAAAGCTTCTTCTTGATCACCAAGAAGGTATACACGGCTTGCACCGTTGGACGATAAGAAATACTAAGAAGGATGGCGCACTCCAGCTCGCCTGTATATGCTTCTCTTGTTAGCGTCATAGTACCTCTAAATCGTAGATCAGGGGATAAATTCTTACTTAGATGGGGAAACTGTTTCTGTACCTCGCCCTCGCCCTAGTACAGTTGAGTCCATGGCGAGCAACAACGTGGACACCGGTGTCATGGTAGCGTAGGCGGGGTGGTGGCGATGCAGAAGCGACGGTGAGGTCGGTGGCAGCTTTCCGTCGCTGGCAGCATCCTTCTCTTTAGATCGGATAGGGTTTCTCTGTAGGTCGGTTACGACGGCTCAGGTCAACCTCGTAGATAGAGCCCCAACCCCCACCTCCCTTTATGGTGTTGTGGGACAGGGGCCCACCAACCAAGGAGTGGTTGGACGCTCCCGATCAGGACGTTGATCCAAGGGCCCAATTGACCAAGATCAACCTAACATTCTCCCCCTTAATCTCACCTTATTTATTAAAACTTAACTTACTTACTTTATCTTGTTCCCATTTTATCACAGATCAGTGCATAGAGCGTATCTCATCGTCATTGTCTGTTGCCATTAGATCAAACAACTATAATGCACTTCTTTGTTTTGAAACAGATACTCAATTAGGCCCTTAGTATCCAGAAATCATAAGCTTTCCTATAAACCCATGTCGACTGTGTGTTCTCTGAACGCACTGGGTGGTTAGCCTTTGGTAAGCGGATCCTTAAGTACGTACTCGTACTTATGTGCTCAATGTTTTCAAATAGATTCTGGATTTTCTCCTTTACAATATATACCTTAGTGTCAATGTGTTTGGCAGCACACTTGACTTGCTGTCTTAGGAGTTAATTTTCTTTAAATGGTTATTGCTGTTGCCTGCAATTGTTAAACCCTGGTACAAATTTTCTTAACCTACTTTTGCCTATTCCTTAAGCCTCATGACAAGCTATATTATGGTATGCATCACTGATGACACCCACAACTGTTTTTTTGGAGCTTTTTCACAATAATACTCCAATTGCAAGTGTTAGCAACTGCTGTGGATTTCACTACACATCTCGCCAAGACTTAACCTTTTGTACCCTCAACTATTTAAGAGTACTTATTTTTTCTTACTCAGCATGAGGCCTATTATACTTTGCAAAATTGCAAGACATTCTCAACTCAATTCCAGTGATCTATATTCAAACTGAACTTCTGCTAAAATATCCCGGATACATAAACTACGTCAGGGTAAGTTCTTACTTGTACTTGTACACACATCAACCTTCCAACAGCTGAAGCATATGGAACCATATTTTTTTGATCGATCTCATATCGGTTTCTAGAACACTTAAAGTTTCCAAATTTATTATCCTTGACTATAGGAGTAGGCGTAGGTTTATTCGCATGTATATTTTATTTTTCTAGAATCTTTTCTAAGTATGCCTTTACGACAGTCCTAATACCCTATTTTCTCCTATCTCGATTAATTTTGATTCATAGAACCAATAACGCTTCACCAAGATCATTCACATTGAAACTTGGGGACAAAACTTCTTCTCCAATAACAGATTAACATCACTACTAGTGAGTAGAATGTCATCTATTCATAGGATGTGGAAAATAAATTTTCCATTCTTGAACTTCGTATGAACGCTATTATCCTTTTCATTTTCTTAAAAAACCCAAACTTCTCATCAACTTCGAATACTACTGTATAGAGACTTATTTTTTATCCATAAATGGATTTCTACAGGCGACATCACATATGTTCTTTTCTTCCATGATAAAAACCTTTTGGGTTATGCCATGTAAATATTTTCATATAAATCCTCGTTTATGAATGCCGTCTTTACATCCATCTGATGTATTTCTAAATCATAATGTGCCATGAATACCATTATGATTCTAAAAGAGTCCTTGCATGAGACTAGAGAGAAAACTCTCATTGTAATCTTTTCATTCTCTTTGCATTAAGCACATTGCTACAAGTCGTGCTTTATATCTTTCTACATTCCCTTTGGAGTCACAATTTGTCTTGTAGACCCATTAGCAGCCTACTGTTTTGGCTCCATTAGTAATTACTTCTAAGTCCCAAACATCGTTTGTATTCATCGAATTCATTTTAGCTTCCATAGCTTCTTGCCACTTAAACGAGTAAACGTTTCTCATGGCTTCTTCAAATGAGGTGGGATCACCCTCCATTTGAATTTCTTTACTAACAAAAAGTTTATAGTCATCAGAAAACAGGTTTACTAATTCTTTGAGACATTTACTGGCACTTTCATATGAGATTGTTGTTGCTCTTCATTGCGAAGAGACAATTGATTCTACAGGCTCTTGTATAACAAGATCTTTATTTACATTATTCATCTTCTTCGAAGAGCTAACAACAGGTGTTGTATTGGTCATGCAACATCAACAGGTATTGAGAAACTTGTTGCTCCTGAGTTACTGGACTGGGCACACAGTCCCTCTTCTCATCAAGTCTTAGGTATCTACATACCTCTACATACCATGCTCCCCTAGATCTTTCCATCTTTTCTAAAGATAGTATATCTTCAAATATCTTATTTTGGGTTTAATCTGTTAAAATCTCATATAGCTTTTAAGCACCACATTAACATCTTTGAGACCGACTACCCTATTTTCCTATCGGAACTTTAAAAAGTCTAGGAATTTAGCTATTTCTCTGCTTAGGGGTATCATTGTTGTAACCGGTGTACTCCTCTAACGGTCACATTTATCTTAATTAGCTATTTCTTTGCTTAGGGGTATCATTATTGTAACCGTTGTACTCCTCCGACGATCACATTCAGCTTAATTAATCTTTATCTCACTCTTAATGAAGAGTATCTTTCTTAATTGATCTTTATATTTTTCTCCCCCTCAAAATATGGCATGAACTTTACTGCCATAATTTTGATAACTATTCAGAAAGCCTGTAAACGAGGGGACACTTATAACTTACTTCATTCACATAATTGTGTCATGTAAACAATGTTATTTCTTAATCCGTTTAGGAGTACACTTTCCTTAATTCACTTTAAGAACTCAACATGGTATTTTATTAGCGATACTTTTACAAGTCACACTTGCATCTTTTCTTATCTTTTGGTTAGTATTGACCATGACTATACATTTCTATTGTGCCAAGGTCAATACTAGGACAGCATAAGAGCTACCCAAACTTCTCTCGCTATGCAGGATACAATACATGTGAATCATCACAAAACTTCTCCCGCCATGCTGGATAGACTAGCATAATTACTATGCTAAAACTTCTTCCCATACAAGATATATCTATACGAAAACTTAGTCATGACGACTAAAACGTTTACTTATACTTCATTTTCCAATTAAATCTTCCTATTGGTTCCGATTTAATCAGAAAAATAGTAAACTAACAAAACTGTTCTGAACTGGCTTGACTAAGCCTTTTCATTCACATACCCCAGCATTGTAGCCCGTTGGCATACAGCCGAGCGATTTCATCGGTTAAAATAAAACATACAATATGCTTCTATATCAATTCTACATCACCGTTGGGCAGAAAGTAGAATTAATGCATAAAACTCATAAATTAACTTGAAATCCATATAACTACTCTTCAAAATTAAATTCTTCTGTTGGTTCGAATTTAATTAGAAGATAATCAACATCATTGCAGCGGAAACTTAATAATAAAATACATTCTTTTAGTTCAGGAGCATTTCTTGATCCTTATCAACTCTCTGAAAAATTCACCACGTTGGTGTAAAATTTTTCAGAAATTTAAACTTCAGACTTAAATTCGTTATAATATTGTCATCATCAACGTTGGTTAGAAAGTGACAATACCATAATTTAACATAAACAAAAACGGACTACTCCTCTAATTAAATTTTTCCGTTGGTTCTAATTTAATCAGAGGATCAAAATAATCACAATTTTCTAAATATAACTGCTCTTCAAATTAAATTCTCCCGTTGGTTCAAATTTAATTGGAAGATAATAAACATTAAACTTTGCAACGAAAACTTAAACATAATTGGTGAATTTTACCCACTGGGAAATTCTCTTTACTAATTTTCTTTGAGCCATTAATTATTTTCCAGGAAATAACAATCTACTGAAAAAAAGGAAAAGAAAATTGGACTCAAAACTATACTGTTTGCTCGGCCCGTCGGCAAAACAACCCGGCCTGATTTCTTCGCGCGGGAGCGGTGCCTTCCCAGGCCGTAACCTAGGCCTAGGGCGGCAAAGTTGTCCTCCGGCACGCCCGCCTAGGCCGAATCCAGCCCAGCGTTTCCTAGCCCTTCATCATGATGGACGGTTCCGCGTCGATCTCGCGCGAGCAAAACCGCTCGGAGCTGGCTCAACCCGAAACCCTAGCCATTAATTTCTCCATCCCCTTCTCTCTCAGCGCAGTCGAGGGCCAGAGCACAGCGATGGCCGAAGGAAGGTAACGGCGTCGCCGTAGGACCCCTCGCCGGCGCGCGCGTTCACCCGAGGGTGAGCGCGCCACCCTCGAGCGGCCTTGCGGTGGTGCCCTGAGCGCGCGCGATGCAGCAAAACGTCGATGAGCCGGCGCGGCTCGGGTGGATTCCGCGCGGTGGCAGGGTCACCTTCCCGCATGACGGCGGTGCGACGGCGACGCGCGTGCTCCCAAGCACGGTGGAGCACCGAGGTAGGCCTCTTCCGCTCTTCCCCTTTCCCTCTTCTGTCTTTGGATCTTGTTGTGTTCTTCTCGGTTCTTTGCCGATTGGGGATTAGGGTTAGGGTTAGGGTTAGGGTTCAAACCTACTGTTCATCTTCCCCGCCTTTCGAGCCTACATGTCGGTGTCCCATCGGTGAGCGGTGGCTCGACTACCCGCGCGGCGTCGAAACTTTCTTTCCGCGCAACGGCAGTGCGACGGTGGTGGAGAAGCCCTAGGAGGTCCTCCCCTTTCCGTCCTTGGTTTTCTAGGGTTAGGGTTCGGTTAACCCTTCTGCCTCGATCTGAATTGGATCTCTCTCAACTTGTTCTAAACTGCTACTACCCCGATCTAGATCTACTCACTAGAAAAACCTTGGCTCTGATACCATTGTTAGTGTCATAGTACCTCTAAATCGTAGATTAGGGGATAAATTCTTACTTAGATGGGGAAACTATTTCTGTACCTCGCCCTTGACCTAGTACAGTTGGGTCCATGGCGAGCAGCAACGTGGACGTCGGTGTCATGGCAGCGTAGGCGCGGTGGTGGCGGTGCAGAGGCGACGGTGAGGTCGATGGTGGCTTCCCGTCGCTGGCAGTACCCTTCTCTTTAGATCGGATAGGGTTTCTCTGTAGGTCGGTTACGGCGGCTCAGGTCAACCTCATAGATAGAGCCCCGGCCCCCACCTCCCTTTATGGCGCTGTGCGACGGGGGCCCACCAACCAAGAAGTGGTTGGACGCCCCTGATCAGGGCGTTGATCCAAGGGCCCAGGCCAATTGGTAGAGATCAACCTAACATCTCTAGGTATTTGTCTATTTCTTAGTTACTTGCTACAGGTAATCACCAATCGTAAAAAAACATTGTGCAAGGAAAGCATAGATGTAAACCAATCACAAATATAGAACTCTATGATATTCTATTGTAAGCTTTCCTGGGCAATGCTCAATGACTAACATGGATTGCACATTTGCATGGTGTACGTGCAGACATTGATCAGCTTGACTATGACTTCGATGATGGCTGCGAGGACTAGTTGGTTTTGTCTACGCTCAAGCATGGCCATAGATTGGGATTTTGCCTGCTTCGTTGCAATGCTTGCTTTGTTTTTTCTGTTCGATTCAGTCAAAGTGGACTTATAATAAAGCTATGTAATGAACTTAAATTATTGATGTACTCGGTTTGTACACTAGGAGTGTTGAATCTATGATATTTTGCACTCTATGACGAATGTTTGGATGTGTTGCACAATGGATGAACATGATAACTGATGAGACCTAGAACTATCACATAGGTGCAAAGTGGTCTCGATTTTCGTTGAAAAATCTTAGTCTGCTTTACTAGCTGGATGCATTTATATGTTGTGCTTCTGATCCATATGTTGGATGCACTTGCATTTATTTGAAGCATCCAATGGAAGATCTACTCCATAAAGAAATATAACAATTTCTAGTATTTTAGAACAGATTAAGAAAAAAAAAGAGAAATGATTGTGGCGCCCATCAATAGGTAGATGCAATTAACACCTGCCCCTGCAGAGATAATAGAAATAGCAAGCACCAAGTGTTTTCTAAATACCAAATTACATTGACACAAATAAGGAAGCTAATTATTAATGACGAGGGATAGAGGGGTAGATTATGCTAGAAATACTTACATTTGTAGGAAAATTTTGAATGCTGCTAGAAATGCTTACATTGTGAATGGAGTTGATAAAGTGTATCTATTTGCATTGGGTGGATAGTCAACAACACAGGCCAGAGAAATCACTATAAATATTGAACTTGTGTATGCTCTTTTTCTCACACCAAATTAAATAGCCATGGCATCCAACAAGAAAGTAGTGGTGCTCGGTCTCTTTGCCCTAGCCTTGTTCCTCGTGGCCCATTGTAAGTAAAACAATCCTTGCTATTTATAATGTTCAAGAAAATAGTAAAGAAAATCCACCACCTCAAATTGGAACTTGGCAACATGCCTCATGCATCATGCATCATCCCATATCATCTCTTGGAGCGAGTACCGCTAATCTATGTACTTCTATCTTAAATTTTGTGTGTATATATATGCGCCTAACCAACAACCACCTGGCTATCTATAAACATATGTGTAGGCGCGGAGGCGGTGCACATATGCACGATGAGGAACAAGTTTTTCCATGGCCCGTGCATGAGCAACAAGAATTGTGCGGCCTCATGCATCCAAAACGGCATTGGCGGTGGTGGGTATTGCTCCTCCTGGAGACAAACATGCAGATGTACCCTTCATTGTTGGAGAAAAACGACGCTAGCCGGGATTGAGCCGACACAAGGTGAGGACGAGCCGGCACCCTTGGACATGCCTAGGACGGAAGTATCCAACTGAGTGTTACATATATATCTATATGCAGTTGATCGATGGAATTGAATAAGAGAATAACACATATAGTCATGTTGTTGTAAGCAATAATAATTATCTGAAGATAATTTAGAGTTGATGGACAAAACTTGTAGTATTATTTTTTGTGAGCATCTGCTGTAGGGCCATAAGCCCCCATATATGTCTTTAACTCTTCCACTGACGACCGCGGCACACTCTTCATAAGCGCAAAAATTTTACCCCTATTAAGGCTACATGCCCTCACATGCATCATTGTTGATGCATATAGAGATGCATGTGCAGCAGGGGTGAGAAATCTAACTCTCGCTACACACTCCTCATGTGCATCTAACGGTACATGCACATGGGGCCTATGCTCTTACGAAACAAAATCAACATTACCCACTTTTCGTTTCAATTTGATCTGTGTTGGTAGCCTGCTGGTTTTGGTCATTAAGTCTGTCCCTATGTGCATGTCTCCGTTTCCAGTTTCCACTTTGTGAGAGGCTACTCAACCTCAGCCACGGGTGTGCACGGTGCATCGGTGTCTCGACTGACAAGGCCAAATCTAAGCAGCTTCATATTTCCTATCGTGGTATTTAAACATTTTGATTTTACAATAAATACGCTTGATTAGATGCAAATAGAATTCAAATAGCAAGAATAAGAGCCAAATCAACTTTGAAAATATTTGAAATTGTGTTACATAAAAATTCTGTGCATGTTTGAGTGTCTGTGTGTGAACTATCAGTGGCAGACCCAGGATTTGAACCTAGTGTACAAAAATTTCTAAGATGCAGTACGGTATGATCCAATGCAAAATTTAGTAAATGGTTTGGTGCATAATTCTAAATGGTTTGATGGACAAGTAGAATATAGAAAAATAAGTCTAAAACCTTCCTAAATGAAAATGCAAATAGCTTAAACACATAAGGTCTTGAGTAATAGAACATTACATTAGTAGTTGAGGTCATTTGCTTTAATTCTAAATGGCATATGAGGTTTTGGTTTAATGCTAAATCACACATAACACATTCACACATCAATTTCACAAATCCCATATGCACAATTTCTAAGTCTAAGTCTAAACTGGACAACGGTTGAGTAACAAACTTACAGACACTCTTGCACTCACCAGGGCTGATGCACTAGAGCTTGTAGGGACCGAGGGAGAAAGGGTGATGTGCTGTTGTGGCGTCTTGGTATATGATTAATATGCTGCTGAAACTTTATATTATCTTTTAAGCATCTTAATGACCTCAAATAAAAAAACTCAAAACTAGAAAGTTCTAGATCATCTATAGTTTTTGTATAAAAATCATCTTCATCCGACGTCGTATCAAGAAGATATTATTTTTCTAAGGTTGAGTCTTGCCACGTCATTTCCGTTGGCACAACAAAACAATATTGTCATGCCAACGGGAGTGGCGTGACAAGGGTTCACGTGAAAATCGTCGACCAACATGGCATATCTTGCCGCACCAGCGCATGTGGCGTGACAGTGTGATTTTGTCGCGCCATAAGCGTTGACACGATCAAAAGGGTTAAAAATAAAAATAAAATTAAAAACGAGTGGGGATATTTTAAAAATAAAAGTTAAAAAGAATTGAAATATAAAAATCCGCTGGTGGGTGTGAGAAAGGAGCATTTCTGGAGATGGCCTGATACTTACACCCATTTACATTGTTTGTTGCTTGTTTGTGAATATGGTGAATCCACAATCAAATTCTATTGTAAACTTTCCTTGGCAATGCTCAATGATTGGTGACATGGATTGCACATTTGCATGGTGTACGTGCAGACATTGAGCTTGACTAAGACTTCAATGATGGCTGGGAGGACTAGTTAGTTTTGCATACGCTCAAGCATGGTCATAGATTGGGTTTCTACCTGCTTCATTGCGTTGCTTGCTTAGTTTTTTTGTTTGATTTAGTCAAAGTGGACTATAATAAAGCTATGTGATGAACTTAAATTCTTGATGTACTTGGTTTGTACTCGAGTGTTCAAATATATGATATTTTGCACTCTATGCCGAATGTTTGGATGTGTTGTGCAATGGATGAACATGATAACTGATGAGACAAAGAACTATATATCACATAGGTGCAAAGTGGTCTCGAATTTTGTTGAAAAATCCTAGTCTGCTTTACTAGCTAGATTCATTTATATGTTGTGTTTTTTATCCATATGTTGGATGCACTTGCATTTATTCCAAGCAGCCAATGGTAAAACTACTCCATAAAGAAATATAACAATTTCTAGTATTTTAGAACATATTAAGAAAAAAGAGAAATGATTGTGGCGCCCTTCAATAGGTAGATGCAATTAACATCTGACCTTACAGAGGTAATAGAAATAGCATGCACTAAGTGTTTTCTAAATAGCAAATTACTTTGACACAAATAAGGAAACTAATTACTAATGACGAGGGATAGAGGGATAGATTATGCTAGAAATGCTTACATTTGTAGGCAAATTTTGAATGCTGCTAGAAATGCTTACATCGTGAATGGAGTTGATAAAGTGTATCTATTTGGGTTTGGATAGTCAACAACGCAGGCCAGAGCAACCACTATAAATATTGAACTTGTGTATGCTCTTTTTCTCGCACCAAATTAAATAGCCATGGCATCCAACAAGAAAGTAGTGGTGCTCGGTCTCTTTGCCCTGGCCTTGTTCCTCGTGGCCCATTGTAAGTAAATCAATCCTTGCTGTTTATAATGTTCAAGAAAATAGTAAAGAAAATCCACCACCTCAAATTGGTAACTTGGCAACATGCCTCCTGCATCTTGCATCATCCCATATCATCTTGGAGCGAGTACCGCTAATCTATGTCCTTCTATTTTAAATTTTGTGTATATATGCGCCTAACCAAAAACCTGGCAATCTATAATCATATGCGTAGGCGCGGAGGCGGTGCACATATGCACGATGAGGAACAAGTTTTTCCATGGCCCGTGCATGAGCAACAGGAATTGCGCGGCCTTGTGCATCCAAAAAGGTATTGGCCACGGTGGGTACTGCTCCTACTGGAGACAAACATGCAGATGTACCCTTCATTGTTGGAGAAAAACGACGCTAGCCGGGATTGAGCCGACACAAGGCAAGGACGAGCCGGCGCCCTTGGACATGCCTAGGACGGAAGTATCCAACTAAGTGTTACATATATATCTATATGCAGTTGATCGAGGGAATTGAATAAGAGAGGAACACATGTAGTCATGTTGTTGTAATAATTAATTGCGCGAAGATAATTTAGAGTTGATGAACAAAACTAGCAGTATTATTTTTGTCATGAGCATCTCCTGCAGGGACATAAGGCCCAGTATATCTCTTTTAATTCTTCCACTAATGGTCGTGGCACACTCTGTGTGAACGCAGAAATTTTACCCATAAAGGCATGTGCATCATTTGTTGATGGAGATGCATGTGCCACAAGGGTGAGACATCTAACTCTTGCTGCACACTCCTCATGTGCATCTTACAGTACAAGCACATGGGACATATGTCCTTAGGAAGTAAAATCAACATTACTCATTCTTGGTTTCAATCTGATCGTGTTGGTAGCCTACTGGTTTTGGTGACTGAGTCTGTCCCTATGTGCGTGCCTCCATTTCGAGTTTCCACTTCGTGAGAGGCTACTCAGGGTGTGTTTAGTTTAGCCGTGGCTTTTGGAAAAGCTGTTGTGAGCTGTGGGCTATGAAAAGCTGCTTTGAAAAAGCTGTTGTGGGAAAGTTGAACGCAGTTTGGTGAAATAGCTGTGGCTTTTGGCAAATACCTATGAGCAGACCCCACATGTCATTCACAGTCCACCCCACTCAACTCTCTCCCTCTCTCACTGACGAGTGAACCCCGCTCATCAGCTTCCTTCCTCCTAGCCGTTCGCTACAGTTCAAGCAGAACGCCGCCGAAGCTCGTGCCCGCACTTGCGCATGGTTGTGCCCGTGCCGGAGCAGGACCGCACACCCGCGGCGGGGCTAGGCCACGCGCCCGCGCCTGCCTGATTTGGGGACGGGGATGGGGCTGCGCCACACCCACCCAAAGCCAATGCCGCTTGCCGCCACGGTCCCCGGCGGTGCCAGTCGTCGCTGCGCTCGCCACCATGGGGGTGCCGACCTGGATGAGCCGCAGTGATCACCGGCCATCGCGTGTACAGGAAAAGAAAGAAGAAAAAAATGAGCCTGTATCTTCATAACCAGTGGCAGGTGGGTAAATTTTTACCCCAAAAACAGCTAAAAGCAAGTGGAGTGCTACTTTGAGTTTTGTACAAGAGGAAAAACAGCTTTTGACCTAAAGCACTTGTGGCTTTTCACCTATTTGGTTGGCTTTTGGCTTTTGCAAAAGCAAAAGCAGGTTGAAAACCCAACCAAAGAGGGCCTCAGCCTCAACCACAGGTATGCATGGCGCATTGGCATCTCGACGAACAAGGCCAAATTTAAGCAGCTTTTAAACATTTTGATTTTACAATAAATCCGCTTGATTAGATGCAAATAGAATTCAAATTGCAAGAATAAGAGCCAAATCGACTTTGAAAATATTTGAAATTTTGTTAAATAAAAATTATGTGCATGTTTGAGTGTTTGTGTGAACTATCAGTGGCGGACTTAGGATTTGAACTTAGGATATACCTAAAAAATTTCTAATACACAATACGATATGATTCAATGCAAAATTTAGTAAATGGTTCAGTACATAATTCTAAATGGTACGGTTCGACGGACAAGTAGAATATGTATCTATCTATATACTATTATAAAACTAAACTCTACTAGATGTTTTATCTCTTTGATGCAAGGAGTCCACATCATTCCCTACTAAGTGACCCTACTAGATGTTTTATCTCTCCATGCATGGTGTCCACGTCATTCCACACTAAGCGTCCTTCTAACTTACAATCCTTTCATCCAAGCTATATATGTCATCCCTTATTAATTATAAAAAAAATTCTATATCTACATTTATATCTCTTATAATCCTAAACCTACTAGCTATATACCTCAGCATGCAAGCTGTCCAACCCAACAATGCACTACCACATGCAATTAAAATCCAACTATATACCTCAACATGCAAGCTGTCCACATCAACAATGTACTATCACATGCAATTAAAATCCACTAGCACATACATTCAACTGTAATGTCCATGTCAACACGACACACAAGCATTTTGTGGAAAAAAAAGTTGGCTGAGGACTATCCCCACCAAGCATCCATAGACACCCATCATGAATTCATGCCACGTGTCCATACATAATCATTGCCCCTGTTGAGCACTAAAATATATTCATTTTCTTCTCCTTTATCATTTATTGTTGGTTTCAACTTTGTCGTTGCTATAGTTGTTTGCTGAGAGTCAAGATTATGGTAGCCATAGAGAACGTGTGTCAGGAATGCTTGCTAGGGTTATCTTTGTCAAAGTGCCACACTAGAATTATGAGAGTACATATAGTTTATGTGACTTTATTATCGGGGTTAATTGGTGTAATTGTGTTGGTTGAAATGCCCTGCACTCTTTTCAGAGATATTGTTTTTGACCAGTGTTATCTTAAACGCTAAATGGTAAACAATCAGCCATCCTCTGTTTAGCGTTTAGATGGTTTAGACCATATTTAAATGGAGTTAAACAGTTTTGTATAGTAACACTTAAATTTGCATATTTATGCGGCAGTGCTATTCTACACCCTAGGATTCTACACCCAGTAGCCAAAATTGACTAGAAAATACTGAATACTGCTAAATCGCGTTCACAATATCAGTTAGTACGATGCATCAGTACCATAAAATACTGAATAATATTGAAACATGATTACTAAATAGTACTGAATTTTGTTCAGTACAACAATTTGGTGTAGAAGTAGCCAAAAACTGACCAGAAAATACTGAATACTACTGAACCATGTTATCAGTCAGTACGACGCATCAGTGCCACAAAATATTGAATGTTACTGAAACACGACTACTGAATAGTACTGAATTTTGTTCAGTACAATATTTATGTATATAAAAGTTAAATATGCTAGAAAGTATACATATTTGTGCATGTAAAATATAAGTATTATATCAAATAAATTTTTTGGAAGAAAATTAAATCTCACACCACCTCATATACTTACTATGTTAATTAGTTGGTGCCAAATGTGGTAGTTGTAATCCTCTTATTAAGTAAATGGTGAATTGAATGGCCATTTAACTCATTTAACCATGGTTAACTCCCGTCTCTTATCCGTTTTGTTGCGGTCAGATCTAACCATGATGAAGGACTATGGAGAATAAGTTTTAAATCAGTCTTCCTTATTCTTCAGTGGCAGAAAGAAGAAGAAAGAAGATACAAGAAAGAAGAAGTTTCTCAACTCTGCCTGCAGGAATGTTGGCCGTCATTCGTTGGGCATCTGTTCAGGCCTTTTGCTGAGTATTTGTCTGTGCGATAATCCATACAAATTGTCATACAAGTTTTGGATTTGAGATTTGGAGCTAAAGCATGAGTACAATATAGATGAAGATCAATTTCTGGATATACGTAGTGTATTTCAGAGTACTTGTAACGTGATGATGTGCTCAACTATAATCTAATATAATTCTTCTTTGGTCTAAAAAATGATATTACAAGCCCTGTTGTGATAACATCTTATCTTGGTACTTGAAGGTTTGAACTAGCATTGTTTACTCTACTTGCAAAGGTCTTTAGTGACCACACCAGAGAAATTTGGTGCCCTTGCTACACGCACTAGTTGTTGCACACTATTGAAGTCCATCTCTCTGGTTGTTTGTTCGGTGCACCACAGGATAAATCTGGTCCACAATGCATTGCAACCTTCTTTGAAGTGACGCTCTAGTATCCCTATGCTCTACTCACCATAGAATTCTAGTGCAATGTGTCAGCACCTAAACTCAGATGTTGCATCTGTTGCAAACACTAGAGAGCTCCAGTGCTCTATCTGGTTCCTCCACTGTGCAATTGTTACATCTCTCCAATGGCCACACCGAAAGTATGATGTCACATCTTCTTCACTGCCTCGGACTTGCTCCATCGGATAACTTTGGTGCTCTCTAATATGCAAATCTTCATGTCCTTTTGTTCGGGCTTCACTTGATTGATGTCTTGATGAGCTTCATACTCATGTTCTAGGGTCTTCAATGCTTTCCTTTGATCTTCTTTTGAGGTGTTGATTGCTTGATCTATCTCCACCTTAGCCTAGTTCAAGTCTAGCCTTGCATACTTAGGACTAAAATACCATGTATACTAGCAAACATTGTTAATGCTCTTGATGATGTTGTCATTCAACCACCAAAATTGCTAAACCCTTGCTAGAGTTCAAGTTTCTTACATTGTACAATGGATTCACGTGATAACTAGTGAGACCTAGAACTATGCTAGCATAGGTGCTAAGAGGTCTAGATTTTTGTTGAAAATCCTGGTCCGTTTTACTAGATTCATTTATATGTTGTGTTTTTTATCTATATGTTGGATGCACTTGCATTTATTCCAAGCAGCCAATGAAAAAACTACTCCATCTAGAAATATAAACATTTCTATGATTTTAGAATAGATTAAGAAAATGAAAATGATTGTAGCATAGATTCAATTAACACTTGCCCTTACAGAGATCATAGAAATGTCATAAACTAATTGTTTTCTAAATACCAAATTATGTTGACACAGATAAGGAAACTAATTATTAATGATGAGGGCCGGGATAGAGGGGGTAGATTATGCTATAAATGATTACATTTGTAGGCAAATTTCGAATGCTGCTAGAAATGCTTACATTTGCTAGAAATGCTTACATTTGCTAGAAATGCTTACCTACGTGAACCAGATCAAGCAACCACTATAAATATTGAACTTGTGTATGCTCTTTTTTCGCACCAAATTAAATAGCCATGGCATCCAACAAGAAAGTAGTGGTGCTCAGTGTCTTTGCCCTGGCCTTGCTCCTGGTGGCCCATTGTAAGTAAAACAATCCTTGTTGTTTATAATGTTCAAGAAAACACTAAAGAAAAACTAGCACCTTAAATTGGAAACTTGACAGCCTAACATACATACCTCCTGCATCATCATCCTATTCAAAGCATCGTGCAGCGAGTACTGCTAATCTCTGTCCCTTATTTTAAATTTTGTGTATATATGTGCCTAATTAGCCACCTCGCAATCTA